ACATCAGAGGCTATGAGGGGTTCAGTGTCTTGCCCAGGGACACTTCAGCATGTGACTGCTGGTGGATTTGAAGCCCCCAACTCTTGCATTGGAGGATGACGGCTCTAACCACTCAGCCACAGCCGCCCAGGTGGGCCTTGTTCTTCTGTTGTTTTGACTTTGTTTTGTCCTACAGACCTGGCACTAAGAATACCAAACCCGACGCCTTATCCCATCTTATGGAGGAAAATTGCACCCCTAAAACCAACTCTGAGGTTGAATTTATCATGCCAGACACTGTGCACCTGTCCATGACCCAGCTGGAGCCAGATCTCCGGCATGCCAACCAGGTTCAGCCACCACCGCCTGAATGCCCTAAATACCAAGTGTTTGTCCCTAATAACAAGGTAAAGAACGTACTCAAACTCTGCCACAGTTCCCACATGTTTTGCCACCCTGGAATCAATAAGACCCTCAGTGTGGTCAAGGCCCAGTTTTGGTAGAAATATTTGGTTAAGGATGTCAAACAATATGTCATTTCATGTCGATCTTTTAATAAGGCCAAGTCCTCTCGACATCCACCAGCAGGTTTTCATCATCCTCTCCCTATTCCCTCTTGCTCCTGGTCCCACATTGCTATGGATTTTGTCACTGGTCTTACCCCCTATTCTGGTCACACTCACATCCTCACTGTGGTGGATCGTTTTTTCTAAAATGATTCACCTCGTACCCTTCACTAAGATGCCCTCTGCCAAAGAACTCGGTAATATCATGGCCAAAGAGGTTTTTAGGCTGCACGGTCTCCCTATAAATATTGTCTTCGATCGGGGCCCCCAGTTTATTTCTAAGTTCTGGAGGAGGATTTGCAGTCTCCTGCATGTCTCCTGCGTGTCTCACCTAGCCTCGTTTCAGGGTTCCACCCACATTCCGACGGCCAAACAGAGAGCCAACCAGGAGGTGGAGACCAAGCTTCGCCTAATATGTGAGGGGTACCCCTGCAAATGGTCAGCCAATCTCCTCTGGGTGGAACACGCAATCAAGTCACTGCCCTCGTCTACTTCAGGTCTGTCCACCTTTTATGTCTATGGTTATCAACCACTAGATGTGTAACGGTACGCTAAAATCACATTTTGGTTCGGTTCAATTTCAAGGAGGGCTCGGTTCGATTAATTTCCGGTACAAAACAAGACAAAATGAAGACTTACAAAATGTTTATTTTGAAAATATGCCAAGTTTGTATAAAAATAAATAAAAGCAACCCATTTGGATGATATTTTAAATAAACAGCACTCTTAAATAAATAAACTATACTAACAATAATGAAAATCTTAATACAATAACAGTCAGAACCAGAACAATAAGCAGCAACAGACCATTTACAATCTAGCTAGTCAAGTTTTATTTTTTTTTGCCAAAAAGACCAACTTGTCCACATTTTCTGCCAAAAGCACAGATCTAGTTGCAGTGAATATCTCCAGTGGTGGAGACAACCGCTCACTAACAACAGTAGCAGGAATAAAGAGATTTGCTAATTTTGCAGTGTGGCTGTATTTGGCCTCATTACTCACAACCTCTTGGACCTGCTCCCAACTGTCCCTGGAAAAGTTCAGAGTTCAGTCATCATGGACTTCTTAGCTGGAGGTCATCTCTGGTGGATTTCCCTGAAGAGGAAGAAGACTCAGCTGCTATCTCTATCCCAGACTAGAAATAAAACACAAATAGGCAAAAAAAAAAAATTAGTTAATAAGATTAACTTTTTTAAATTTAAAATTGTAATTAGATAATATTAATAAAAGAACAATCCCTCTTCTTGAACGGTTGTTATGAGGTGGTTGAATCTCTCGGTCATCATCATCATCAGGGCAGGGCTTTAATCTGGTCCAGGGCTTGTTGACAATATCAGTTTTAGCGTTTTTATAAAGTGCTGCTACAATTTTGTGGTTGAAGTGTTGATGTGATGGGTTGTCGTAGCGGGGCTCATAAACTTTAAAGCCGGAGCATCAACAACAGAATACAGACATATATCCAGAGCTTTAAAAACTCTTACAGCTTGTATAATTGCTCTGGACCACTCTGAATTACCTGATAAAGGTTGTTTAAATGATGCTGTTATCGGTCTTTGCAACAAGCTGCTTTTCTTGCTTGTAGAAAAGACGTTCACGTTTGAATGATGTTGTTTCAAGTGCGTTAACAAGTTAGACGTGTTGCCCGCTGTAGATCCAATCTCCGTGAAACAACGTCAACACACAGCTTTGGATATACACTTGTCTTTTAACAAGAAAGCCATAATGTTCCCAAACAGGAGACCACAACGAGATGCTAGGTTGCTAATGCTAGCGTGCTGCAAGAAAATATCGCTGTGCTGAAACACCTTAGGAATATTAATTCCGCGACGCATAATCTCTCATTAATAAAATTTAATGAGTGAAAAAATTACCAAAATAGTACGTAGGTGGACCGAACTGAACGGGCCGCACCGAAACGGTTCAGTACACCCATGTGTACCGTTACGCCCCTATCAACCACCACTGTTCTCTGTCCAGGGGAGGGAGGCCCAGGTATCATCAGCTCATTGAGCAGTCATGAAGTGCCAGTGCACCTGGAGAAGAGCCAGAAGGGCTCTCCTTAAGTCATCGGCAGTCTACGTTAGGGGGGGCAACATACAACGATCTGCACAGCCGTCCTATAAGGTGGGTCAGAAAGTCTGGCTCTTGGCTAATGACCTTCCCCTAGAGGTGGAGTCCAGTAAATTGGCTCCTCGCTTTATTGGACATTTTCCCATAAACAAATCATCAATCCTGTGGCAGTCTGCCCCCAGCTACCATGCCACCCCCTCCTGCCTCAAACCTTTTCTGCAGCCCCGTTTCAAGCCCTCCTCTGGCCCCCCTCCTTCCACCTGACTTATTGATGGTTCTCTGGCTTACACCGTCAAGAGACTCCTCCACTCTTGACGGTGGAGTTGGGGACTCCACTACCTGATTGATTGGGAGGGCTTCAGTCCTTTCCTGGTTTCAGCACATATTGGACAAAAACCTCATCACAGAGTTTCACAGATCCCATCCTGATCAGCCTGGTGATCCCTCGGAGCTGAACCTTGAAGAGGGCGTTCTGTCACGTTTTGCCCCGGTTCTCCACAGTTTTGGGTTAGTTTTCATGAGTCAGCTCTGGAATGCCTGTCACCCTTCCTCAGCTCCTGTCTTCCTGTACCACACCTCCTCTGCTCTGACACTAATCAAGCACTCATCTGTTCCACCTGCTCTGCTCCCTTTATAAGCCCAGCTCTAACTCTCATCCAGTACCAGATAGGGCTTTAACAGACTACTCAAGAAGTCTACACATCGATTCCTAGGACATCTATTGAGTTTTTTAATTTCACGTTGAGTATTCGTGGTGAAGTCATTACATCGCCGTTACGTCTTTGTGTCACGTGATCCGCACCGGGCGCAGGTTACAAAATGGATTCCTCCAAGCAGACAGGTGGAGCTGAGCAGGTCCAGTCTTGGCAAACAGGTAGAAATGCATCAATAGTCTGGAACTATTTCTCTAAAGATGAATCTTCCGGTTTAACTACCATAAGGAAACAGAAAATTAATCAACTTCCTAACTGTTTGGAGCTCGTTGTGAACCGGTGTTACACCATATTCTGTGACCACTGTATATTGTGACCGTAGGGAGCGGTGTTGCATGCACTGTTGCAGGTCACAGAATATGGTGTAACACCGGGTCCAATCGACCGAACCAGAACCAGCTTCCTCTGACCGTGTTTCACAAACAAAAAGCAAAAAATATTAATCTCTAAAACTAAACCTAATGTGCACCACAGCTGGTGGTGGTGGTCGTCCACCCCACTGTTTTTAGTTTCGTTTTTGACGTGCCACATGTTTCTTTCACTTTTGCAACTTAATAATAATAACTCATTTAGTTTTTCCTGTGACTTATTTGCAGCATGATAAATGATAGGAGTACAATATATGCTCCCAATGTTTTGTTGGGCTTTTGTTGTAAATGACTTTTTTGCGGTTTTATTTATTTATTTTTGTTTCTTTGGATCCTATGATGTCATCAAGTACTCAAGTTTTATTACGTTAATGTTGAGTTTAAAAATTATGTAGTCGTTCAACCCCTAGTACCAGATTATTGAAAGCTCTTTGCCAGTAAATATCCAGCATTCCATGCCTTGTCTCTTGCCTTGCCTTGACCCTTCGCATGTGTTCTCGAACTCCTCGCTTTTCCTAACCACTTTTGAATTTATTACTGCTACATTTGACCATGGTAATGACTCTGCTTTCCTCCTCCTTCGAATATGCCTACAGATTATGATTTGATTCTGCTTCCTGCTCTCCTGGATATGAACTCTGCTACATTTTCTGGACCCTGCCTCTGGAGCCATACATTGTTTTTGAGGGGCAAATCCAAAGCCTGCTCCGCAGCTGCAGTTCATTCTGCACGAGTGATGCCACCGGTATCAGCGTGACTACAGCACCTGCCATGCTACAGACTGAGAAGGTTAGTGACTAATCCAAGCAAGCTTTTAAAACTCATCATTCACTAACCTATCTCTCTTAACAGACTGGACTTCCTCCTGGACCCAGACCTCCACCAAAAGATGTTTTAACAATAAACTGTTTCAAACCATTCCTGAGTCTGGTGTTGTGCTGATCCAAACAGGTTTTTGTCATAACTAGGCTAGTTTCATAAATATTAGGCTAAATTAAGTGTTTGTGGCTGAAAGTTGTGCCCAAAACATATTATAATCACCAACTCTTATGAGAACTCAGCATATGAATGCTATTTACAAGGTGTGACCAAAAAAGCTATAACTTTTACTTCTCAGCATAAAATAATCTTAGTCTTAAACTCTGGCATTACGTCAAAGCATGCTATGTGGCCTGTTTTTTAATGTATTTTTACAAGTCAGTTGTTTTGGTAAGTTATAAAGGGATATATTTGATATTACTGGTAATGGCATTTTTCAATTTTTATTTTTTATATAGTGGTAACATTTCACCTTTTTGTTATAGGAGGAGCACACTCTGTGCTCTTTGTCAGGAGGTGTAGTCACTCCTGAATCCCAGATGGAGGAGTCAACTTCTCCTGCAGACACCACTGAAGAAGATCCTCTTCCTCTTAAGCCATGGGGAAGGAGCCAGTCACTGCCTGCGTACGCTGACCTAATCATGGTAAATCACATTAATCCCACTTTTATGCATGGGTTTAAAAACTGCACTGGGACTATGAAATATATTCACGACATTTTCATTAATTAAATAATTTAGAAGTTGCAACAAAGTTCATGCTCAATCATCCAGGTACCAACTCCTCTGACTGATGAAGCACTCCGGATAGAGGGCGAAACATCTCTAAAAAAAGAAACTGTCCAGATGACCTGACTGAGAAATATTGAATTTAGAAGTTGGTTAAGAACCAGAATCAGTAAGCTGTATTGTCATTGCACCGAGATGCAACGAGAACATGTACGTACAGTCATCCGAAAGATGGACGTAGTGCACAAAGCTGCTGCTAATTAGCGCGGCCTTCTTATTCTTATTCAGAATAATATTTTTGATTAGATGAGAAAGGGGCAATTATAAATGTCATTTAAACAATCAACTTTTTTTTTTGTTATCTTTGTAGTTTAAGATGTACCTTTACCACAAGAAGAAAATTGTCATCAGTTTTATTTAGTAGTAGGTTACAAATTTATGTGGAAGTGTTATTTTTAACGGCAGACATCTTGTATTTATGCAAATAAAATTAATGACAGGAGGCTGGGTAGGAGCAAGAACATGAAAACATTGTAGTTCATTTCAAGAGCTGATCACATATAAAGGTTAAATTTAAAAAAAGTTTACATTGGCTCATATTACAATATTACAATTTTTGCATGACACATTAGTGTTTTCATCCGAACAACATCCATATTCTTAAGCAACTGTGGGCTGAGCATCAATCGTTAGTGCAGAGACATAGAATGTATCAGTCCGCTAGAAGTTGAGGAAACATTTCAATTGACTGCACATCCTGTGTAGGTACGCTGACACATTGAGTCTTTGAGCACCATCGGCAAAAACATCTATGTCTACATCTGCATTTGCTACAGCTGTATTATGGTCATCCATGAGCATGCTGCTGGTCTTCTGTGTTGTTCAGTGGAGTAAGAGCCATGCTAATGCTAGCATCTGGACGTTAACTTTTAGCTCTTTTTGTAAAGTCAACAAGCAGAATTTTTTGACACAAGTTTGTGTTAAGACAACAAAGATGGCTTATTTTTGTGCTGTTTGTCCAGTCATTGTTCAGATGGATAGAGACCACTTTTGCTGTTCTTAGTTAAAATCACAGCACAGCAGTGGCAAATATTGAGATTTTCACAAATCTGAAGATCTAACTTGTTGTCTGCCATCAGAGTGAAGTATTCTGTCAGTGCATGTTATGAGCATGATAACTTGAAAAATTAATGAGGCATTGATTTTCAATTTAGTGCATAGCTGCATCTAGGCATAATTAAGTTTAATTAAAAAAAAATGTTTGCTGAATCAAACCCTAAGATGGCTGTCACCATTTATGGTAAAGGGACTGTACTTGTATAGCGCCTTTCTATCTTTCTGAGATACTCAAAGCACTTTATACTACAATCTGTGCCCTCATTTACCCATGTACATTCAAACACCGATGGGACACACATTGGAGGGAATGAGGGGTTCAGTGTCTTGCCCAGGGTCACTTCAGCATGTGACTGCTGGTGGAATCGAACATGCAACTCTCGCATTGGAGGATGACTGCTCTAACCACTCAGCCACAGCCACCCCATAAATATAAGTATATATGTATGTATGTTAACCTGGTGAGCTGGATAATTTTGAAAAAATGCTTGAAATGTTGGTGTCAAATGCTTGGTGTGGCCAACGATATATCTGTAGTGGCCACGATCACAACTGGCCAGTCACTGGCTCTGCCTTTGCACTTGGTGGTAGAAAATTACAAACATTCACTATTCAAATCTTTTAGTGACAGGGAACATCGGCGTACTGCTTGTTAATTTTGTGTGACATAATCTGGGGTCAGTGAAGGAGTTGTGCAAAGGTTTGTATGGTTGTTTCTTGAGTCTTATGAGTAAGCCCCACTGACAACCACACTTTGTTTCCTCTCCCTCCTTTGACTGTGCTCTGTTAGTCCTGACAACAGTCCACAGGATCCTGATAGTCTCGCTACAGCTTTTAATAAATTGTTGGTGCAACAGAAGTTCTTTAAGGTGACAATCTTGCTCTCAGAACCAATGTTGTAAGTTTTGGGCAACTTGGCAATGTTCATCTACATGTATACAAACAAAAAACACAAGAATAAAACATAAAAGTAGTACCAAATTCCACTGTCACTATGTTTTACAGCCAAAGGGACTTAACTACCTAAAGGGTGCATTGCAGCTACAAATACTTCAGAATACCACATACACCTCCAGATGCAAGAAGAGGGCCACCTGCATCATGAAGGACCACACTCACCCAGCACACACACTTTTTGCCCTGCTCCCCTCAAGAAGGAGGTTAAGGAGCATTGCAGAACCACTAGACTGAGGAACAGCTTCTACCCTGAGGCTGTTAGACTAATGAATCTCTAACCAGAATAATCACTGTGAAAAATCCCATCATGTTCCTGCTGATCTGTTTCATGTTGCTGTGTTCATTCATACTCATCTGCTCACACAGACTCATGTTCATGCTGCTGTTCGGTGTATTGTCTATTAGTGTTTAGTGTATTTTTATTAACTTTTTCTTTGTTCATACAAACCGGATTCCAAAAAAGTTGGGATACTAAACAAGTTGTGAATAAAAACTGAATGCAATGATGTGGAGATGGCAAATGTCAATATTTTATTCATAATATAACATAGATGACAGATCAAAAGTTTAATCTGAGTAAATGTAACATTTTAAAGGAAAAATATGTTTATTCAAAATTGCACAGTGTCAACAAATCCCAAAAAAGTTGGGACAAGTAGCAATATGTGGCTGGCAAAAGGAAATTGAATATATAAGGAACAGCTGGAAGACAAATTAACACTAATTAGGTCAATTGACAACATGATTGGGTATAAAAAAGAGCTTCTCAGAGTGTCAGTGTCTCTCAGAAGCCAAGATGGTAAGAGGATCACCAATTCCACCATTGTTGCGTAGAAAGATAGTGCAGCAATACCAGAATGGTGTTACCCAGCGTAAAATAGCAAAGTCTTTTAAGTTATCATCATCAACCGTGCATAACATCATCAAAAGATTCAGAGAATCTGGAACAATCGCTGTGTGTAAGGGTCAAGGCCGTAAAACTCTCCTGGATGCTCGTGATCTCTGGGCCCTTAAACATCACTGACCTCAAACAGGAATGCCACTGTCAAGGAAATAACAGAACGGGCTCAGGAATACTTCCAGAAAGCATTTTCAGTGAACACAATCCACCGTGCCATCCACCGTTGCCAGCTGAAACTCTACAGTGCAAAGAGGAAGCCATTTCTAATCAAGCTCAGACGTTTGCACTGGGCCAGGGGTCATTTAAAATGGAGTGTGGCTAAATGGAAGACTGTTCTGTGGTCAGATGAGTCACGATTTGAAGTTCTTTATGGAACACTGGGACACCATGTCATCCGGAACAGAGAGGACAAGGATAGCCCAAGTTGTTATCAACGCTCCGTTCAGAAGCCTGTATCACTGATTGTATGGGGTTGCATGAGCGCTTGTGGCATGGGCAGCTTGCATGTCTGGAAAGGCACCATTAATGCAGAGAACTATGTTCAGGTTCTAGAACAACATATGCTCCCATCTAGACGTCATCTCTTTCAGGGAAGACCCTGCATTTTTCAACACGATAATGCCAGACCACATTCTGCAGCACTCACAACATCATGGTAACGTAGGAGAAGGATCCGGGTACTGAAATGGCCAGCCTGTAGTCCAGATCTTTCACCTATAGAGAACATTTGGCGCATCATAAAGAGGAAGGTGCGACAAAGAAGGCCCAAGATGATTGAACAGTTAGAGGCCTGTATTAGACATGAATGAGAGAGCATTCCTATTTCTAAACTTGAGAAACTGGTCTCCTCTGTCCCCAGACGTCTGTTGAGTGTTGTAAGAAGAAGGGGGGATGCCACACAGTGGTAAAAATGGACTTGTCCCAACTTTTTGGGGATTTGTTGATGTCATTGTAGTGAACCTGACCTCATGTCAAATCTGACCAGATGGACAGAAACTGTTATTTCATTGATCTGCATCCAGAAATACCGTTTGACCCATCTGGAGACTTTCTTTCTTGAATTAATCAAGTAGAAAAGACAATTCTCTATGATCATTACTATTTTACAAATGTTTGATAATCAAATTGTGTTAGTTCACTCTATGTTTACAGGTTGAAGAGAACTACTCATTTTTATTTTACATAAACAGTAAGTAATGATTTTTATTCCTCATTCAAAGAAGAAATCAGGGTAATAGGCATTTCTTGATTTTTCTGTCTTCAATGAGCAAATTTGTAAGTATGTTAAAGTTCAGGTTTCGGTCAACTAAAAGTTTACTGAAAAAGAAATGTCATGTTTAATCTTTACAGCAGATAATAGGAGTAGAGACTCCACGAAGTCTGGTTTTCTCCAATAATCTTTCTGTCTATATTAAACAAACTTAATCTCTGCCCTTGACTTGGATAACACCTTACATCACAAACCACACCTCTGATCTGGTCCATCCACCAATCAAAAAGCTCTAAAATGACCCGGAAGTCAACCCATTTAAATGTGGCAACTTCCCGGTTCTAGTAGAGTTTTGCAGAGTTCTGTCGGATGCAGCTCATGGAGAAGTGTCAAAAGAAGGTCTGATGTCT